AAATTGCCAACCTCAAACTGTTTATTCCAATATTAGACCAAACATTTTAAATAAAATTTATTTTTAAAATATAAAAGGCCATCCTAAGAGTTTATGTGGGCTTTTGGTTAATTAAACAATTAAACAGGTTAATTGTACTGAATGATGTTAGAGGTATCCTAAAGTAAACACAGTCAGCACAAAAGACCGACACACAAACCTTAAAATATATAATTAATCATTTTCCTACCTACCTACATGGATAATTTTTAGGGCGTTACTGTAAACACACAACTTTTTTCTCGGCCAAAGAACTGTTTGTCAGCACCAACTGGTATTGGGCTTTATTCCATCATTCTAGTATGGACATTAGCTTACTTGGGACTTTATCTCTGCAAAAAACATGTGCGATATATTCCCATTCTATCTCTATCTTTCAGCAGTAATCATGGCTTTGAACCTTTATCTGAGTATTGCTGCCATCCCTGACCCATCCAAGGATGATAAAGCACCCGCTTCCTCTTATCTACGATATCAGCGTTCTAGCTTCCTTTTCCTCGGCACTTGGAAATCCTAGTAAAAATGTAGACACAGCCTGAGCTCAAAATGAGGAATGTTCTGCTTCGTTTAATCTTTGTATGATGTTGAAAAATGCCGAGTAGAAGACTCATCTAACAACCATTGCATCGAAGTTCTTATTCTTCTCATTCTTTAGATGAAACTAAATTTTTTTTTTTTATATATATAGGCCTATATGAAGACCCCAAAGTCACAATTTTCATTTAGTGTGTCACTCTTAAGACCCAATAATGTGTGTACAATTGATAACGTCCACACTTCCTGGACAGGAAAATTGATTGGTTTAATTTCCTTTCTACCGAGAAGGCAGTTGTAAAGTTCACAGTCCACTAAATGTAAAAAAAAATCCAAAATCCAAAACCACATTCTAGTCAGGAAGTATGGAAAGGAAATGATAAACTTCACTTTTTCGTAATATCTAATCAAGTGCATGCCTACATTCTTAATCATAAGTTTGACGGCAGGATTGTGGATATTATCCCAACCTTTCCTGACAACTAAAGGTTAAGTCCATTATTGACGTGTATGACTAGTGCGGCTAGTTGACCAGTCACCAATACTAAAAAGCATTGGGGCAATTCCACGGTTACTCACGTTACATTTTTGATGTACTTTTGAGCTTCCTTGGGCTGTAATTACCTTACTGAAAAGGTTTAATAACTGTTATCCCCATGGTAGATAGAGTAGACCTAGACCTACCTAAGCACCAATGATGACATCCAGAAAAAAGTGTTATGTATGATGAACAAGACGCACAAAATTGGTTACTCACGTTACAAAAACGTAACGTGAGTAACCGTGAATTGCCCATTGTGACTAGTCACGACTATTGCAATTATTCGCGACTATTGAAATTCACTAGTCACCCATGACTAAAACTTTGTAATTCAAGTAATTTGAAAATGGCTCAATAAAGATGTTTTAAGGATTTAATAGTAACAAGACAGAACATGAATGCCAATTTCAGAGGCGAAAGTGTAATTTCTAATGTGATCACTCACAGCTGAGTAAATCAGGGTTATTCAGTGAATGATGTGTAGACACATTATTTGGTCATTACATGTACTTTGAAAGCACACCAAAGGCTTAATGCTTTGTAGTACCCAGACAACCAGTGGTGTTTTTTCTGCCCCAAATGCTTATTGCACATGCGCTGTATTACTAGATAAATAATGTGTCACTAGTCGCGACTAGTCAACTAGTCGTGACTATTTATCGCAAAAAGTTGCGACTTTTTATCGTAACTAGTCGCAACTACTGAAATTTACTAGTCGCCCAGGCCTAGTCCATAATAAATCCAGATAATTCGCTTTTGACAAATACATAATAATAATTGTGCTCATCTAGCGCTTTCCATCGTATCAACAATCTCAAAGCGCTTTACAATTATTACCCCCTACATCAGGCCATGGGGCCACGCGGCAGCCGATATCAGCGCTCAATCGGTCCTCGACCCTCACAGGTACCCATTTATACTCCTGGGTGGAGAGAGGCAGTTGTAGTTCAGTGTCTTGCCCAAGGGCACAAACACCATGTTCCTGGCAGGGTTCGAACCCACGCACCATCGTACATGAGTCAAACACCGTAACCACTGGACCATGTAGTTACCACGTTCATGTATCAAATCCAGCAGGCAGTCTGTTTTGAACATTTCACAATCAGTGATTTCATAACTCCCTCACTCACGTGTGACTAGAATGTATAGAGCCACAATAATGCCGTTACGCCAGATGGATCTTGACTTATGTCATCGGGAATGTGTTATTGCAAAACATATGAATCAACAAATAAATATAGCCAAACCTATATTACAAACAGTTTCTCGTAGAGGCACATCGTGACGAAAAAAGGAACATCATTCAACAACACATATGGCTTCTTTTTAAGTGGGGGAGGGGGGGCGTATTTGTGCAATATCCATCTGGATAATGATTTACAGAAAGCAAACATGAATGCAACCACAATGATTCGACAGCTACTTCACATGTCGACTCATATAATGAACGTTGGGAGTTATTGGAAACCAAGACTTCGTGCCAAACTGAAGTATCGCAGCCCGACATCGGAAATATTTCAATTGAAGACGGTTGCAATAATCAGACTTCTTCCGACAATATTGATCCGTTGCTTGATTTGCAGAACTTGTGATTCAGTGGTGTATTGACTTCAGTAGTGGTAGTTCTTTGCAGATTGTGTTTTTGGATATCCCAGTATCGTTTTCCCCGAGTTTGTGATAAAATGGTCTCCTCATAAAAATGTTTCTTCACTTTGTTTTGTTCTTTTTCTCAACAATGGATTTCAACAGTTCATAATCGTACAAATGTCCAACCTTTCCCATGGTTCATTTGAAGCCTGCAAATGTGTTTCCAAATATTTGACAAAATTCCAAACTTCTAATCAAGTCAACCTCATCTTGGCATGATTTTGATGTTATCATCATCCAGGGTGATCCATCTCCCTTTTTCCTTTCATAAGAGAAACTCTCATTTGGGGGTATTGGCAAGTACGAGAGTGTGTTGCCAAAGTCATGATTCTCCACTTGAGCATGATGTGCCAAGTAATAGAAGACTGTTTGTTCCATCCTTTCAGGAGACAACTTTCTGTCCTCATCTCATTGCAAATTCTGGGCATGATTATTTGCTTAACACAAAGCCCAAGTAATGAGGCTTCATCCTCACTGAGGGCTTGAGTCTCACATCGTGTCAGAACAAAAAAGCCAAGAGCGCGTCATATTAGCCGGGACTGAGGGTCGCCAGATTGTCTGCAACAGTGTCATCAAGTCTTTCAAAGAGACAGGATGCAAGATTAGTTCAAACACTTGGATGTTGCCAAATTGGCATTGGTTGAGCAAGGAGGATGTCTCAAAATAAGCAACATCAGAAAGTCAAGAGCATTAATTGGTTTTGTACTTGATTAACTGGGGTTTCAAAGTTGGAAACTTTTAAGCTTATTCAGGCACTGTCTTCTATTGATGCTTGAAGTTATGCATCTATCCCAATTTTTTTTTAGATGAAAGGGGTCTTTGACAAGTTGTTTTTATGTGCATGAATTTACCTTTTCCCAGATGTGACAACTTTAATATTGACTAGTATTACACAAATATGTGGCTTCCCTCACAAGAAATGAAAACATGAATTACGATACATCTTTATCTCCACTTGTTTACACGTAGCTAATGTGAAAATCTTTTTGTAAATCCCTTCCCGTCGACAAAAGACGTACATTGCCTCAGTCAGACCATGATAGTGATGATGATGACAGGGTAATTTCCGTAGCAGCAAAGTGATCACAAGAAATAAGTGAGATATCGCATATCAGGCCAACCATTCCGGGATAGCCTGTGGTAACATTCTGGCAGTACGGCGGTGCTGCCCGTGTTTGTTTGTCTTATATCTCCGGTATTTCGTCAGTCCCGGGCCCCTTTATTCATTCCCTGACCCTAAGCATCTCTTTAAAAGCATCGGATGCGAGCCGGAGCTGGCCAGGCGATATCGGAATGTCGACGGCATGACAAGGCCCCCAGGCCAACGGACAAAAACAGGCACCTATTTATAAAACAGATACCCTTCTGATAAACGAACGGCAGAAATTCAATCTTGACAAAGGTCGATGGAACATTCAGTTATCTGTCAAGTTTTTTTGTTTTGTTTTTCCTTTCTGTGGGAAAAGGTCAGAGGCGCGAACTTAAGGGCCTGAGAGGATCAGGAATGAGATTTGTGCAAGTGACCCAGCCGAGGAAATTGGGATTGAGAGGGGAGGGGGAGGGGGGATTGGATGCCTAAATGCAGTGGGAGGAATCGCGGATTTTGCATTGAATTGCAACTTGAGATTAGAATCTTCTTTCTTTTTAAGTGGTCTGTCAAATGAGGATTTTCATTGGATTTCCCTCTTGATCATGCAGGAAATTACATAGGAATAACCCCATGAGATTTCAACATTTCCTTCAAATGTCCTTATATTTTTCAGATGAATCTTAAATTAGGAGTTAAAATTGATAAGGCTAAATATTTCAACCACTCTGTCAATCGTAAAAGAATCTTGTCATTTTTTGCTCAATAAAATCAGTTAGACAATTAATTGTTTACTCAAGTTGTTAATCATGAATTTAGCAAATCTATCAAATTGGAAATTTCAAAATCCTTAGGGCGATTGATTACAATCACCTTAAGGATTTAAAATTTCCTTCTATTTTTTTAATGAATCTATAAGTAAAATTGATAAGGCCAATTATTTCCACCACTACGTCATTGATACAAGAGTCTTGTAAACTTTTCAGTAAATCAGCTGACATTTGAAAAATTTAAATCATGAATTTAGCAAATCAATCCAATTTTGTGTCTCAGTCACCTTGAGAATTAATCCATTAATCCTCGAGTCAGTCCAAATCCATAAGACAGCAAATGACCACTTAGTACACAGAACACAGAAGACATCAAGAAAAGTTACTTGTCATCAATCAGTGAATATTTGTATTTTTTATTCAATTCTCAGGAGACATTTTTTTTGTTAAATAATAATTCATTTGAAAGTAGTCGGTGTTTAATCATTTGTAATCAACTAATCCTTAAACCTCTATTGATTTAAATAATGCATGATTTACTCTGTACAACTTCACATCAGTTTCATCCACTACAAAATATTTTCTACAAAATAAACATTGTTAATCATATTTTCCTTGTTTTTGTCATGACAATTTATTGCCTGTTCAGGGGATAAAATAGTGGTGTTTTTTTTTATTTCAAAGAAGAAGGGGGTTTAAATCGGACAAAAACAACAGAAAAATTATTGCACTGCTAGAACAGAACAAAGTAAAATGTGCAGGGAAATTGACATGGTTTTGTTTAAAGTAAAATGAGTCTGATGTTTGCATGATTTAATCTCAAACCAAACAATTTCTTCTTTATTCATTGACACCCTGATGGTTGTAAAAACAAAATTGGCAATTCACGTTGCAGTAAATTTCTGAAAAAAAGAAAACTCTGTTTACTTGTGTTTTAGAAGTTTTTTTTTTTCTACTCAATGGGACAAAATAAACATTTCACTAGAAAATATAACGTTTGTTGTGTGTAACACCCCGATGTACAAAAATATACAAAAAAGAAACTCAAAATGTACAAAACATAAAAGAAACGTAAAAAAAACAAAATGCTGTGGGTGTACAATGTCTCTTTGCATAATATTTGAAAACGAAAAACAGTTGATTAGTTTTTAGAAATCTCTGGGGATATACTCGTGAGATATTATTTTTGTTTGTTCATAAAGATAAAATATTTACATCTCGATTAAGGTTCATTATTTTATCCTAGCCAGAATTGACTTTCACTTTCCATTCTGTGTAATGTACAAGATCACCTCATCAATATCATTTCAACTAAAATTGTTGCTTAAATGGCAGAAACGGAAGAAACTATCAAACAATGAAAATATCACTTTCAGTTTGATTTTTTTTTTTTTTTCACATTTTTCTGTGAGAAAACTTTAGAGTCACTGATTATGTTTCAAATTTTTACTGAACAAAATGTAACACTAATGTCATATAAAAACAGGGTAATTTCCAAAGTGTTATTTCGGAAATGAAACAATCTTTTTTTGGTGTTCAGCAAACCTCAAATTTACGACGTCATGCTCCAATTTCTGTTTTTCATTTTCACAAGCCCCGTCTCAAACAAGAAAGGTTTTTTCCCCCTTCAAAATCCTTTTTCTCACTTCATCCTTTCACAAATTTCATAAATTTCACAGCACTTCCTCAAAAATGTCTACCAAGAGCCAGTGATTTGAAAATTATCAGTTTTTTGACATTTCAGCATCTTTCTGCCATCGATCTCCGACAACAGAGAAATGTTAAAACTAATAAAACAGAAATTGAAAGGATTTTTGTTAGTTTTTACTCGTGTGTGAGGTACATTGTAAGGATATCTCAAGGATACCTCGTACAAATTTCATAACTCTTGCTGCCTTATCCTAATCCATTCATGCTGCTACATTTGTAGTTCTCGAAACTCCATTTTAGTTATTGAGTAAAATAAATTTCAAGATTTTACTCTTTCCCTTAAGTTAATTTTTTTTGGCACATAGGGATGCTGATAGGACCTTTATTGTATTGATTAATGTGGGTAATTTAAAAGTCAAGATTTATCCTAACATCTCTGATTTCATCGAATTGAGCAATCAGTCCTTTCTACTTGAACCAGTTGAATTTTGCTGCATGAAATTGGCAAAACTTCAAAAAAAAACAAAATACTCCGAACAAAATATATTATCAGGGTGCACTATCCACAACTTTCATCTTAACTCCCCACACCATAACTCTCAACTATTTCAAAACCACCAACTTTTTCAGTTTTATCCTATAGATTGCTATAAATATTTATTTTACACTGGCTGGTCCTTTACAGAAATGTATGTTAAGTAACAGGCTTTAGGCAGAACATTTTCAATGTTTTCTTGTTCTTGTTTAATACCCTGTCAACTGAAAAAACCTTGGGGAGATTTTATAGCTGGCTGGCATTTTGTTCTAGCTGACCGGTTTAGCTGAATCACTCCGTAACATTCCTAAATGCTTAGTTTTTTTTCATGAGTCAGCTTTCTGTTCAAGTAAAGCAGATAATAATGCTGGTTGTTAACATGTGTATTTAAATTGGAGAACAGTCGCGGTGATGACATCTTAAGTTAATTTGCATATCATTGATAAATGGTCTATGTAATTACTCCTGTATGTACAGACTGCAGAACTCACAATAAGCATTGGTGTCCCGCGGTAAAATGCCCCAAGAAAAAAAATATATATGGCAGAACTCGATGGCTGAAATATGTCCAACTCACACAAATTGCACTTGTTCTGTTAATAAACATTTCTGTTCCAAAAATATGTTTTATAATAAATGGAGAGATTTTGCCATATAATTTGTTTCAAAGTTCATGATGATGTTGACTCGCTTTTTCCCGATCAAAAAGGAGTACTGTTCTTAAAGTCAAGGCACTTGGATGCTGATTCTATTTTCAATGTTTTTGCTTTATTTAATTTATTTAATGATTATTTTTTTTAATGAAGTGGGAGTGGTTAGTGGTGGCTGACTGGAGGAACGATGACGACTTCACCTCCGCTCGTCGGTCGCCATATTAGAGTCTGTGCATTGTTGGCATTGGGTGCACGCAGCGCCTCTGGGGGCGCCACCTCATTCTGCCACGGCTCCAGGATGTGCGGTTGCTCCTGGATGATGGGGTCCAGTAGGCGCGCCCGTCGGCCTAACGGCTGCGTCTCATCCACTGCAATGTTAATCCGCATACGCCACTTGATCGTCCGCAGGACAAACTTCTGTCCCGTGGTCTTGTTCATGGCGATGAGCCAGACCGTGAAGCTCTGGTCCCTAGCCAGACGAGTCAGTCGGACCTGGTGGCTGTTCCTGACTGGGATATCCCAGGTAATGGAAGGATGGAAGTTGTCGTTCATGCGTAGATGGAAGGTGCTGTAGCATGACGTGGGGCCGGGGATGGTGGCTACTTCGGTGGTGCAGCCATACCATGGGTAGTGCTTGCCATCGGAATCGCTGACAAAACGTTGCTGGTTGCTCTTTAGGGAGGGAATCTCCCAACTGGACCTGAAGAGGGCAGCAAACACAAGACAGCTTTATTAGAAAAATCAAACATAATAATGGAGGGAGAGCTAATCTTCCTTACTCGCAGCAGAAGCTGAATTGCAAAGGACACAGCTATAATGTGGTCTAGCCGAAGGCATGTAATGGTGCCTTAGGCAGACGCCATATGACCCATGTTTAACTGTGGAGCACAGCCAGATCAAAAGTGTTACATATGACACGAGACAGGAATCGAACCCTGGTCACAATGGTGAGAGGCGAGTGCTTTATGCACTACGCCACCAAACTTGGCACTAAAAGTAACTCTAGTCACATTTAATTCACATTTTTGTGAGGAATTGGATTCAAATTAGCTTGAGAATCCCCATCTTTGTAGCAAGATGTAGGTCAGGACCATATGCCAGAGGATCATGGTCCGGTGTGTTCCTTAGCAAACCACTTTACAATGATTTCTTACTTTCATCCTGGATGAAACATTTATATGTGTTACCATGGTTTTTGATAACACAATGTTTCATACCATTGCACTTATGATATGACTATGAGTAAAACGGGAAAAAAACTGTGTAGGGTTCAGACCCATGCCAGAGACTCAACGTATTGCTGAAAGCCCATGACAATACACCAACCTGTACTGCAATACTGTGAATGGGGCATATATTAAAGGGAATATACATCATTTGCTTTTGCTGTAATTTTCAGAAATGGATGGAATTGGGGGGTTGGAAATATGAAGCAATTATAGTTACACTGACTTTTTGGAGGTTTTGGGTTCGAAAATGCTATAAAAACCAAGAAAAACGACCATTTTCCTGTAGTCTGGTTCCCTGACTCCATATAAGAAGAAACAGAGCAGTTTACATACATTAGGGAATTGTAAGGTCAGGGAACCAGTCTAGCTGGCCCGTACCCGTTCATAGGTTTGTAATCGATTGCAAACAAGTGCAATGGTCAATTGTGGCCAGTATTTGAAAAAAAGCCAGTTGTTTCCAACGCTGATCGGCCGATCAGCGTTGGAAATTGATACAAAAATACCAATTTTCTTGAAAATGACAGTATACCAGGTGCCATAATTTTACAGGATGCTTTAGACTGTCATTTACCAACATCCTATTAAGGTGTTTCGCAAAAACATGGTAGTTTTATTTTTCGATGTTTGCAAATGTTGTATATTCCCTTTAAAGTGCATTTCGTGGTAAATTGCACTGCACAAACACCGCTTGTTATCACACCATAACATGCATAGAGGGCACCTGTTATTAAAAGTCTGCACACATAGTACACAGCTAATGAGTAATGACACAAGTCAAAAAACAACAAAAGCTTGGTGCCAGGCAATTTACGAATTGATGAATCAGGCTCATTAGATCTTGATGGCCAATTATACAAATCATTTAGTGTTATCGGATATGGCATCAGCTGGCAATTTGTGAGCGAAATAAATAAAAGATCAACTGTGGTATGCTTGGCAGTAATACACAACCCAAGGGGAATCAATACTACAGGTAGGGGACTGGTACGAGCACTGTCTCAATTATACAGGTCACTGTATGCATTAATCTTCGTTCAACACGCCATCCGACAAAGCCAGCTGAGACCATTACACTCCATCTGATGGAAATGCACATCAACGACAGACTCGAGATGAAACTCCAAACTGCTCCAGGCAAACATAAATACATTTTGTAAATGTGCGCTGCTCATTTTCTGGGTGACATGCAGAAACGCACCGCTGTACATCATTTCAGTAATGGGAATATCTTGATGTATGGTTTCACTCAAGATCCTGTCGCAATTTTTTTTTTTGGGGGGGGGACAAGTGTGATGAATTATACTTGCTCAAATGGGGTTGTGTAACATTACCATTTTTCATATTTTCTTTTAAAAGGTATTTTAACATGTCTGTATTACTAATCGTAATCCATATTGTTTGATTTGTTCAATCTATCGACTAGTGTCTTGCCGATAGACCTCACAAAAAGCTACTTATTTGAGATTTCTTAGTTTAACTGTCAACTGCTTGATACATTTTTAACAAAGTTGAATTAGAGTTGCACTATTCAGTCTGTGCACAAGCAATTGAGGGCGCTCTTCACCTTGCATCGTAAGCAGTAAATGGAGGTGATACTCAACTGGTTCAATCACACACCAAATTAAAGACTGATATCTACCAGGCTAGAGTGAGTCCCTCAGTACAGACTGTATGCACCTGGCTACTAGGGGCCACACTGTGGGCAGAGTGGATTGAAAGATTATCTGTGCTTTGTAATTCGGCCAAGACACCATTTCCAACCATTAAATCTACAACTGATAGCACAACTGCTAATGGGTACTGCATACCAATCACAGACTGCACTTGTTATGAGAAGTCGTAGCAAATGGTGTTTCAGTGTGAGTCTGACTGTGCAGTGAGGGGGAAGGGGGTTGGGTTCTGGGGTAGGGGCATAGCATGTAGCTCTTGATCAGTGTCAGGTGCAACTGTGTACGGAGTTTCCTCAGGATGGTGATTCATAGTCCGTCCAAAAAACAGTCATTGATTCGTGAGGTAATGAGGGTGGTAGCAATGGGGTCTATCCGATGTTCCCCAATACCTATGTTCCCGAAAATCCTTAGGGCTAGGGTTAGTAGGGGTTAGATGGTTAGGATTACAGTTAGGGGTAGATGGTTAGGGTTAGGGCTGGGGAGCATACGTATTGGGGAATATAGGTATTGGGGAACATAGATATGCACCTGGTAGCAATGGCTCAGTAAGGAAGGAATGCTCGTACATGGTTGATGCAGGGGACTTGACATATCCACCCCTGGTGACCCCGGTTCGAATCCCACCCAGATTGACCCTGTTGGTTTATTGAGTTCCCAGTCACAGCTTGACTCTGTGGCTGCACTTTGTACCATGTCTTGGATTTCCTCCATCTAAACCGATCAGTTTGTCATCTTCTTTCATCTTCGTTTCTGTAAATGTTGTTCCATTGATATGTCAACTTCATCCATAATCCTAACTCTGCACGTTTTCCTGATCAGATATTTCGAAGGCATTCACCCCACATTTGTCAGTCCTGTTTTTGCCATGATGTATTGGCTAGGAACAAAATATCTAGTCCATTCTATAGTCATTGAATGTCAGCAGGCTTGAGAATGACAGGGTTCTAGACATTGTCACAGACACTCTCTCTTGGTGTAGTCATAATCTCATCAACTGGAATCTGTAAAATTGGCAGCATTGATTGGATCAGTCATTCTCTTGGCATTGCTCCGCAGATTCAAGGATTTCTGCTGATTATTTTATTGTATCAAGACCAGACTTATAATATATCCCTTTATTTTTCTTCCTCTTTTTTTTGCAACACCGATCCAATTATTGTGCTGTCTGCCTCATTGCAATACACAACTCAATGAAATTGTCATCAAAGTCACAGTACAGCCAAAAATGTATAATGGTTTTTGGTGGTAGCTGAAATTATTTGAATCATAAAATCAAAGACCTTGCCCTTCCGTGTTGCTGTTGCAAATTTCTTGAGGGGAGATCTGAATGCAAACATTCAAAGTGAACTGTGATCAGCACTACCACTGCTTTAATCAAAACTGTCCACTTCGCGCCTCGGAAATGGAATGGCATCAAGTGAATTAATCATCACACCTTTGAAAATGTGTTTGTGGAGCATCTGAAAAGGGCCGGTCTGATTGAGGAGACGATAACAAATGCGTATCGCATGACGGGGGATGACTAGGTGATGAAACCAAGACAACATACACGCCAGTATCGTTCCCACATGAAAAGAACCGACAGCTAGCCAGGCGATTAATAAGTCAGCTTTTTTTTATGGAAATTTTGGCAGTTCTGATTTCTGGATGGACGACATAAATGTTTCACTGACAGTGTGTGCACAGCACTCCGAAAGGTGCATCCATCTGTTACTAAGATTTTTATCGGTTCCCTATTAAAAAGCTGCAGCATGTAATTATTATATATTTCAACGTTAATATCGTGGTTCAGAGCTTTTCAGTTTGATTTCTGTGCCAACAAATTGCCTTCCCCTCCCCCCCCCCCGAATAAAAAAATGTTTACCCTATCTCTGAATAATTGGCATAAAGAAAATGTGCAACATTTTTCAAATCAAAGCTGAGAATATTTTCCAAGAATCTTTCAAGTCTGTTGGTCTAACTTCACCTCTGCCATGACAACACTAAATCTAGACACTTCTGAGAATGATTTACTGACGACACACTAGACTTCTTGTGAGAGAACTAGGTATCCAGTCTGCTACACAATTCTCTTGCATAGCACAACAGTACGTGCCAGCAAGTGTGTATTTTGTGTAAAATGATGACATGTAACTTGACGCAGATTGGAATTTTGCCAATCTAAAATTATGCATGTTGTCCCTCTAAAGACACATGTAATTTATATGCATGGAACGACTATAAAGGGATATGCATTTTGCAAACGGTGGCAAACACTGATCCATGAAATTTAAAGAGGCCAGGAGATGAACTTTTCTTAGGGACACATTTTGTGCAACTTTCTTTTGTTGTGTTACATTACCTGGTATGACCTCCAAGCTCTCAAATTATGAGAGCTAAAAATGTCAGACAGTAACAAATTATGTTTTCATGAACAGATGTTTCTTGTTGGTATAAATAGCTGTGTTTCAAGCCTGATCGAACATGAAGGGATTTAGTAATTTATCCCTTCTTCTAAAACCACATTGTATTGTAAATAACACAATTTGTTAGGTTTAATCATGGAGCTATAAAACGCTTTATATATCGCTGTTTAATAATGTACAACATCTTTGGGTTGATCCTACTTTATAAGTGCATTTGGAGTCGACTCTTTGCACACATACTCTGTTCCAAAGTCCAACAGACATAACAAGTAAAAAGTGAAAGAAACAGACTTCCTTTGTTTGATAATCATGTTTAAACTGCAATATCAGATGATCCAATATTTATTTTGGGGGGCGTAGGTGTGCTGATGCAGACTAGTTAACAAAATAATCCAC